CAGGACCAGACCACCAGACCAGACCAGACCAGACCAGACCAGACCAGACCAAGACCAGACCAGACCAGACCAGACCAGACCAGACCAGACCAGACCAGAAGACCAGACCAAGACCAGACCAGACCAGACCAGACCAAGACCCAGACCAAGACCAGACCAGACCAGACCAAGACCAAGACCAGACCAGGACCAGACCAGACCAGACCAGACCAGGACCAGACCAAGACCAGACCAGGACCAGACCAGGACCAGACCAGGACCAGACCAGACCAGACCAGGACCAGACCAGGACCAGACCAAGACCAGACCAGACCAGACCAAGACCAGACCACCAGACCAAGACCAGACCAAGACCAGACCAAGACCAGACCAAGACCAAGACCAGACCAGGACCAGACCAAGACCAAGACCAGACCAGACCAGACCAGGACCAGACCAGGACCAGACCAGGACTGAGAATGGTTCAGTCCTGGTTTAGTCCATTTTTTCCATTTGTCATTTAAACACAAAATCAAAAACTGAAAAAATGAATCTTTATCTGTTTTTTGTTTTGGTTTTGGAGACAAATCATGAAGAAAATAGATTTTTTTTTTTTCATTATTTTTGAAAAACGAATGAACCAATGACACAGACGTCTGTCCCTGACCAGACTGTGATTGGTTCATTCTCCACCCGCTGTCCCCGCCCCCTCTGTCCCCGCCCCTCTGTCCCTCTGCCCCCTCTGTCCCCGCCCCCTCTGTCCCCGCTGTCCCCGCCCCCTCTGTCCCCTCTGTCCCCGCCCCCTCTGTCCCCTCTGTCCCCGCCCCCTCTGTCCCCGCTGTCCCCGCCCCCTCTGTCCCCTGTCCCCCTCTGTCCCTCTGTCCCGCCCCCCTCTGTCCCCGCTGTCCCCGCCCCCTCTGTCCCCTCTGTCCCCGCTGTCCCCGCCCCCTCTGTCCCCTCTGTCCCCGCCCCCTCTGTCCCCTCTGTCCCCTCTGTCCCCTCTGTCCCCGCCCCCTCTGTCCCCGCCCCTCTGTCCCCGCCCCCTCTGTCCCTCTGTCCCTCTGTCGCTCTCATCAAACACACATGAGTTCAGTTTGAGTTTTATTCAGACTTTATGCTCAGTGCAGCTCATGCTTCTCAAACACTTGGATCAACAGATGAAGTTTCTTTTTCTTTTTCTTTTTCTTTTTGTTTTTCTTTTGTTTTTCTTGGTGGATCTTCTCTCCTCAGACGGTTTCACCTGAAGCACAAACTGAAGCTCCAGTTTCACGATGTTCAAATCCTCCTGGAAAAACCAACTGGAGTCGGGTTTATGAGACGAGGAGTTTGTGAAGAGCAGAAAGTTCAGGCCGTCGTCGCTGCAGCGTCTCCATGGAGATCGACAGGTTTAATGCTGCACTGTGGAATATATGTTACAGCCAAAGGAACAACGTTTCCATGGAAACAAGCAGCAGGAGGAGGAGGCCCAGACACACACACACACACACACAGACACACACACACACACACACAGACACACACACACACACACACAGACACACACACACACAGACACACACAGACACACACACACACACACACAGACACACACACACACACACACACACACACACACACACACAGACACACACACACACACACAGACACACACACACACACACACACACACACACACACACACACACACAGACACACACACACACACACACACAGACACACACACACACACACACACACACACAGACACACACACACACACACACACACACACACAGACACACACACACACACACACACACACACACACACACACACACACACACACACACACACACACACACACACACACACACACACACACACACACACACACACACACAGACACACACACACACACACACACACACAGACACACACACACACACACACACACACACAGACACACACACACACACACACACACACACAGACACACACACACACACACACACACACACACAGACACACACACACACACAGACACACACACACACACAGACACACACACACACACACACAGACACACACACACACACACACACACACACAGACACACACACACACACACACACACACAGACACACACACACACACACACACACAGACACACACACACACACACACACACACACACACACAGACACACACACACAGACACACACACACACACACACACACACACACACACACAGCACACACACACACACACACAGACACACACACACACACACACACACAGACACACACACACACACACACAGACACACACACACACACACACACACACACACAGACACACAGACACACACACACACACACACACACAGACACACACAGACACACACACACACACACACACACACACAGACACACACAACACACACAGACACACACACACACACAGACACACACACACACACACACACAGAGTCTGTGTGTCTCTGAAATGTTTTAACGAAACGTCAAAACGACACACAGTTTTACAATTTACATCGAGAAATAAAATGTTTAAAGCCGTTTTCACACATTTGTTTATGTTTTACACAAACTAAACTTAATAAAAACTGTGGTTCAGTTTGTGTTGGACTAAAGACACAGAGACTCAGTGAATCAGATGAGGGTGTGTTCTCTCCTGTGTCAGAGGGGTGTGTTCTCTCTGTGTGATCAGAGAGAGGGGTGTTCTCTCTGTGTCAGAGGGTGGGAGGGTGTTCTCTCTGTGTGTGTCTCTCTCTGTGTCAGAGGGGTGTTCTCTCTGTGTCAGAGGGGTGTTCTCTCTGTGTCAGAGGGGTGTCTCTCTGTGTGATCTGTTCTCTCTGTGTCAGAGGGGTGTTCTCTCTGTGTCAGATGTGTCAGAGGGTGTTCTCTCTGTGTCAGAGGGGTGTTCTCTCTGTGTGTCAGAGGGGTGTTCTCTCTGTGTCTGTGTCAGAGGGGTGTGTCAGAGGGGTGTTCTCTCTGTGTCAGAGGGGTGTTCTCTCTGTGTCAGATGTCAGAGGGTGTGTGTCGAGGGTGTTCTCTCTGTGTCAGAGGGGTGTTCTCTCTCTGTGTCAGAGGGGTGTTCTCTCTGTGTCAGAGGGGTGTTCTCTCTGTGTCAGAGGAGTGTGTTCTCTCTCTGTGTCAGAGGGGTGTTCTCTCTGTCAGAGGGGTGTTCTCTCTGTGTCAGAGGGGTGTTCTCTCTGTGTCAGAGTGTGTGTAGGGGTGTTCTCTCTGTGTCAGAGGGGTGTTCTCTCTCTGTGTGTCAGAGGGGTGTTCTCTCTGTGTTCTCTCTGTGTCAGAGGGGTGTGTTCTCTCTGTGTCAGAGGGGTGTTCTCTCTGTGTGTCAGAGGGGTGTTCTCTCTGTGACAGAGGGGTGTTCTCTCTGTGTGACAGAGAGGGGTGTTTCTCTCTGTGAGTCAGAGGGTGTTCTCTCTGTGTCAGAGGGGTGTTCTCTCTGTGTCAGAGGGGTGTTCTCTCTGTGTGTCAGAGGGGTGTTCTCTCCTGTGTCAGAGGGGTGTTCTCTCTCTGTGACAGAGGGGTGTTCTCTCTGTGTGTCAGAGGGTGTTTCTCTTGTGTGTCAGAGGGGTGTTCTCTCTGTGTCAGAGGGGTGTTCTCTCTGTGTCAGAGGGGTGTTCTCTCTGTGTCAGAGGGTGTGTTCTCTCTGTGACAGAGGGGTGTTCTCTCTGTGTGTCAGAGGGGTGTCTCTCTCTGTGACAGAGGGGTGTTTCTCTCTGTGACAGAGGGGTGTTCTCTCTGTGTCAGAGGGGTGTTCTCTCTGTGACAGAGGGGTGTTCTCTCTGTGACAGAGGGGTGTTCTCTCTCTGTGTCAGAGGGGTTGTTCTCTCTGTGGTCAGAGGGGTGTTCTCTCTGTGACAGAGGGGTGTTTCTCTCTGTGACAGAGGGGTGTTCTCTCTGTGTCAGAGGGGTGTTCTCTCTGTGTCAGAGGGGGTGTTCTCTCTGTCAGAGTGTCAGAGGGTGTTCTCTCTGTGACAGAGGGGTGTTCTCTCTGTGACAGAGGGGTGTTCTCTCTGTGTGACAGAGGGGTGTTCTCTCTGTGACAGAGGGGTGTTCTCTCTGTGACAGAGGGGTGTTCTCTCTGTGACAGAGGGGTGTTCTCTCTCTGTGTCAGAGGGGTGTTCTCTCTGTGACAGAGGGGTGTTCTCTCTGTGTGACAGAGGGGTGTGTCTCTCTCTGTGACAGAGGGTGTTCTCTCTGTCAGAGGGGTGTTCTCTCTGTGTCAGAGGGTGTGTCAGAGGGTGTTCTCTCTGTGTCAGAGGGTGTTCTCTCTGTGTGACAGAGGGGTGTTCTCTCTGTGTGTCAGAGGGGTGTTCTCTCTGTGTCAGAGGGGTGTTTCTCTCTGTGTCAGAGGGGTGTTCTCTCTCTGTGACAGAGGGTGTTCTCTCTCTGTGTGTCAGAGGGGTGTTCTCTCTGTGTCAGAGGGATGTTCTGCTGATGTTCAGTCTGTTCTGTGTTTGTGTCGTGTTGTTGGTTCATGTGAAAACTTTTCACACATTATACGTGTGAAGTGGTGCACACAGACACACGTTTATGTGAATGGACACATATTGTGTGTCTGAGTGTTTTGTGGGTGAATGACTTTGCGGTGCACAGACCTCGACGTAGATCAATAAATCTAAAACGGCGGTGACAATGTGACGCGTGTGCGTTGAGTTGACGTAGAATTATACTTCAGAGTGTTTGTCTGTCAGAGCAGCAGCGGTGACCAGGAGCATCCAAACTGTCAGGGTGAAAACAAACCTTTGTCTGAAAAAAGAACCTAATAACACAGAACATGCAGCTGTTTCTGGAGTCACATCATGAAAATAAAGTCAAGTGAACGACGAGCGCGACTCATGCAAATCCAGAAAATGACTCAAATTAGGGAATGACGAATGACAGGGACCCTGAGATCATGTACTTCCTGTTTTCAGTCGTCGTGGTGACCCTGAGATCATGTACTTCCTGTTTTCAGTCGTGGTGGTGACCCTGAGATCATGTACTTCCTGTTTTCAGTCGTCGTGCTCGCTGCAGCCCTCGTCCTTTCGTGGGTTCACATATTTGATGCACCTTCTGTAGACGCAGACGATCCTGGACTGGCTGAGTTTGAAGGCCATGGAGACGATGGCCATGCCACAGATGATGAAGAGCGACGTGAGCATGAAGTAGTTCGGGTGTTTGGGGACGATGTCTCCGAAGCCGATGGTCGTCACGGTGATGAAGCAGAAGTAAAAAGCGTCGAAGAGCGTGAGCTCCGTCTCCCACAGCGGCAGCACCAGCCCCACCAGCAGAACGTACGCGAAGACGGCGAAGAGGATGAGGACGAAGGGCACGTCCAGCCGCTCCATCTCGTTCCCCAGGTCGCCGTAGTCCCACAGGACGAAGGGTTTCTTGGACCTGGGGAGACGATCCAGCTCCGGACACGACACGCTGCGGCTCAGAGGACCTTTACGCAGGAGACGCTCACGGGCCAAGATCCTCTCGAAGATCTCCCTGTTGTTCTGAAGTTGGATGGACTTTTGACGTACGCCCGCCTGAGAGTGGAGAACCTGAGGAAGAGGAGGAGAAGAAGAAGAAGAAGAAGAGGAGCTTTGATTTAAATATTCCAGAGAAAAAAAGACCATAAAGACTAAAGAGAGTCAGGACAATAAACACACTTTCAAGGAGACACTGTCCACGTTTACGTGATGTTTTTGAATTGTTCTGAATTAAAAAGTTCTGAATTAAAATATTTCCTTGGAGTTTACATGGAAATAATAATTCTGAATGGAGGTTTCCATGTTAAACCCGTTAAACCTTTGTCTTTATTTAATATGTGTGAGCGTCTCACACGAGCATCAGAGACACGACGGCGTCACACACAGCGAGTGTGTTCAGAGTTTACAGAAGTCGTCTAAACTCTGCGCTTGTCTCCTAAAATCTGGTCCAGTTGTTGGTAAAATGTTCAGGTCACACGTCCTCGGCCGCTTCGTTTGTTTGACTCTTCATCCTCCTTGGATTTTCTCGCAGACTCTGTCTTTTTCGTTGACACTGGAGCCAGGAAGCTCCTCCAATTTGTCCTGAACACAGATCCCCCCAAATATGAACAAACTCACTTTCCCTTCACTGCCGAGACTCTGAGTCTGAACGTGACGTGGACCTTCAGACTCGAGTCACATGTTAAAGATCAGATCAGTTTGGGTTTTAGGAGCAGATCCAAGTGTCCTGAGTCACATTTGAACAAATCCGATCTGTGTGGCTCAGGCGTCATTAAAAGATCAGATCCAGGAGCAGAGGAGAGAAAAATCCAGTTTGGGAAACTTCAGGCTGCAAACTGAACGTAAACTTCAACTAAAAACATCTGACTTTTTTTGAGTCGATTCAACTTGACGAGTAAAATGATCGACCAATGGAATAAATGTTTCTTTCTTAATTCAAGAAAGATTTAGATTTTGTTTCTTATTTGAAGTAGAGTTGTTGTTTTTCTGATCTGAAGTGCAGCAGATGTATTTTTATATTTTAAATACAAAATGTCTTGTTCTACTGGCAGATCATTTGACTTGTCAAGTGAAATTTACTCAAATCATAATGTGAGTGTCATTTGTCCAGTTGTTTTTCAAAATAAAACCAAAAATAAGAAAACGAAAAAACTGCTGTTTTCTTCATTATTTGTCTCCAAAACCAAAATGAAAAAAACAGATAAAGATTCATTTTTTCAGTTTTTGAATTTGTGTTTAAATGAAAAATGGAAAAAAACAGATAACGGACTAAACCAAGACTAAACCAAGACTAAACTAGGACTAAACCAAGACCAAAACCAGGACCAAATCAGGACTAAACCAGGTCTGACCTGACCAGAACCAGACCAGGACTGAGATCAGGACTGAGCCCGGGACCAGGACCAGGAAGGACTGAGACCAGAATTAAGACCAATACTGAGACCAGGAACAGACCGGGACTGAGACCAGGACTGAGGCCGGGACTGAAACTGGGACCAGACCAGGACCAGGCTGTGATTGAGACTGGGACTGAGACCAAGACCAGACCGGGACTGAGACCGGGGCCAGACCAGGACTGAAAACGGTTTAGTCCTGGTTCAGACCTGGTTTAGTCCTGGTTTAGATCTGGTTTAGTCCTGGTTTAGTCCTGGTTCAGACCTGGTTTAGTCCTGGTTCAGTCCTGGTTTAGTCCTGGTTCAGACCTGGTTTAGTCCTGGTTCAGTCCTGGTTTAGTCCTGGTTCAGTCCGGCATCGCAGTTTAAGTCACGGAAACAGGAAACTGTTGTTATCTGTTTTTTTCAATTTTTTTACTGAAACACAAAATCAAAAACTGAAAAAACAAATCATTATCTGTTTTTACATTTTGATTTTGGAGACAAATAATGAAGAAACACAAATCTAAACCTCAGGTCTGACTCGACTCTGACCTGAGTTGCTGTGACTGACCTGCCTGATGTCCAGAGGTCCACTCATCACCACGTCGTTGGGTTCGACCGTCACGTCCTCCAGCGTGCGGATCATCTCCAGGTCCAACGATTTCCGCCGCCTTTTCCACGGAGCGAACTTGGTCCAGCCGCGCCTGCGGAGGGCGCCGAAGACCCGGTGCACGCGCTGGTACGCCCGAGTCATGACCAGAGCCAAGAAGTCGCCCACGTCCAGAATGACCAGGAGCATCAGAGGAACCCCGACCATCGCATAAAGAACACACGCCACCTTCCCCGCCAGGGTCACCGGGTACATCTCCCCGTAACCTGCACCAGGGTCAGAAGAACAAGAGACCAGGGTCAGAAGAACAAGAGACCAGGGTCAGAAGAACAAGAGACCAGGGTCAGAAGAACAAGAGACCAGGGTCAGAAGAAGAGACCAGGGTCAGAAGAACAAGAGACCAGGGTCAGAAGAAGAGACCAGGGTCAGAAGAACAAGAGACCAGGGTCAGAAGAACAAGAGACCAGGGTCAGAAGAACAAGAGACCAGGGTCAGAAGAACAAGAGACCAGGGTCAGAAGAACAAGAGACCAGGGTCAGAAGAAGAAGAGGAGGAAGGGGTCAGAGAATGATGAGGAGCAGGAGGAAGAGGAGGAAGATGATGAAAATGAGTTAGTGGTTTGTTAATTGAGTAAAGTGCTTCTTCACTTCCTGGACTGTCCATTAGCGTCTTCACCGCTCGTCTGCATCACAAACAGTAAAACGCTTTAATGTGTCATGTGGCAGAGTCTGGACCAATCAGAGAGCAGGACCGAGCCCAGAAAGCTCTGGGGAAACATTTGTCTAAAAACACAGACCAAACCCAGACTCTGCACAAGAACTAAACCAGGACTAAACCAGGACTAAACCAGGACTAAACCAGGACTAAACCAGGACTAAACCAGGACTAAACCAGGTCTAAACCAGGACTAAACCAGGACTAAACCAGGTCTAAACCAGGTCTAGGACTTCCGGGGAACATGGACAGCGCATGGACGCAGAGCTGAGTATCTGCTACACAACTGATTTTAAATCATCCCCCTAACGCTCGAAATTACCACAAGAAGGTCTAGAAATGCGATGAGTGTGGGCAGATCAAAAAGACGACAGAAACATATGAAGAAAGCGAACGTGAACATGGACATGCCGAAAAAAGACGCAGAGCAACGCTCACAACGAAGTGGCGACGCAGACGACTCCCCAACACTAAGAAACGCTGAAATTCACAAAGATCTACAAAGTTTAACGAGCGAATTCATAAAAGCGCTTCAGGAGATTAACGTAGAAATGGTCCGAGATCGTAAAGCTGAGATGGCGACTGTTACCCAGAGCATAAACCAAAAGTTAACGGACCGAGCAGCTAAACTCGAGGGGCACGACAAAGCCGTTGCCGAGGCAGAAGGCCGAGTCTCAGAGGTCGAAGAGAGCGGCGTAGGGACCAAAGACGCCCTGCTCCGTTTATTCAGGGAACAACGCAGACTGCGGGAAAAAGTTGTCGACTTCGAAAGCAGATCCAGAAGAAACGACATACGCAGATACGGGATTCCCGAGGACGCTGAGGGCACGTCTACGATGGACTTCATGAGAAGTTTGCTCACTAAGGAGAGAAAAGAGAACTCATCGAGCTTCCACAGAACAACCGGGACCAGGCGCAACGCCAAGATCTGTGATCATAAACCTTTTGCAGTTTGAAGTGAAAGAGCCCATCCTGAGGCTGGCATGAAGAAGAGGATTATGTTTGAGAGTAAACAGATTTACTTTGACCATGACTATGCCCATGAAGTTTTGGAGAAGCACAAAAACAGAGGGGCATCTGTTTCCAAACAGCCTTCATGAAGATTCACATCCACTGGAGTACGGGACGTACGGAGACGCTGAAGACGCGGCGAGTGATCGAGGGATCGAGGGATCGAGGGATCGAGTGATCGAGGGATCGAGGGATCGAGGGATCGAGGGATCGAGGGATCGAGGTGACCACAACTAGAGTGTGAACAACGGCCGGCGTGGAGATGGAGGACAAAACCCACCGCACTTTTCCCTGGGAGGCAGTGGTTGCAGATGAGAGACGAGCTACGATTGGAAGGAGGGTGAGACGCAAACTTCTAGAGTTTAGAAGAGGAGATGGATCCTAGAAGAAAAATCAGCTTCATGGTTTATCTTCAAACTGAGGTAACTGATTCTATTCTGTTCATGATGCTGTAAGTAAAAAGTTGAAATTGGAATCAGCTGAAGTAGAGATTAGTATTACTGTTCGTGTTTGTTGGACTCGTTGTGGTTGAGGAATGTATTGGCTGGTTCAGTGTTTCACCACAGGGGGGAGCCCCGACCGGGAGGACTTGACTCTTCACTCACCAACAGAGACTCACATGAGTCAATCGACCCTGAGGATAACGAAGACTTTATTGTTTTTTTGTTCATGTTTTTTGTTTTAGTTCAACAGTGGGGGGGGTTACATTTGTTTGTCTTTCCGTCCTTACGATTAAATTGGAGAATGTTTGGTTAATTCTTGAAAGAAATTACAATAAGGCTTAAACTAACTAAGCAAAGTAAAATCCTGGCTAAACTAAAAAAGGGAGAATATAGATGTGGGAAACTCATGGCAGGATTGGAACATGAAAGATTTAAGGTTTAAATATGTCTTTTTTTCTTCTAATGGGATAAAACGTACAAGAGGTGTGGCCATTTTAATTTTAATCAAGTCGAGTCATATTTGAGCAAATAGCAACAGTTCAGGATAAAGACGGCAGATATGTGATGGTAAAAGCTCAACTGGGGGAGAAATGTTTGGTACTAAATCTGACTATTTCAATCTTTTAGACAAAGCTGTGACAGAGAGACAAGGAAAACTCATTTGTGGAGGTGATTTTAACATAACTTTAAATCCACACACAGATTCAACAAGTAACAGATGATTTCAGTCACAGAAAATAACAAGAAAGATTAAACTCACGATGTCGGAGTCGAGTCTTGTAGGTTTGTGGAGGTATTTGAGCCCAACAGTTAGAGCCTGTACTTTTTACTCGTCTCCACACTTTTCTTACTCAAGAACTGATTCTTTTTTACCTTTGGTACAGACATCGATGCAAAAATGTCAGATTGGAGCGAGAGAAATAAATGCTCATTCTCCTTTATATCTTTATATAACCGAGTCTCAACAACACCAACGAACCCACTGGAGACTGAATAATCTGATACTCAAACATCAGCTCCATCTAAAGAAACAACTGGATCCTCACAAATCAATGACAACGAGAAAACAACTCCCCCGTGTGGTGGACGTGAGGCGGTGATGAGGGAGAGGAGGATGACTAAAACTTCTTATTTGAAAAAGCAAAGGTTGGAAAAACTGGAGAAGCTACGATTACAAATATGAACATAAGAAACAAAGATACAAGAGACGACCAAACCAGATGAGATCTACAATCAAGACAAACAACCAAAGTTATTATTTGTCAAACTGAGTTACTACGAAGGACGGGTCAAATATACCAAACAACTAGCATGCAAATGAAGAAAACAGCAGTCAGAGAATAAAGTCGACAAGATTAAAAACCCGGTGACCAAAGGAATGTGTCATCAATTCAATCCAATTCAGAACTGCTTTAAGAAGTATTATTAAAGTTAGAGTCACAGCCTCATAGAACTAATGTTTATAAAATGTAAAGTTTGTTTAAGATCGTTGAAATGATCCACTGCTACGGGAAATGAAAACAAGACTTTGACTGAACAAATGACAAAGGAGGAAACTAACAACGCTCCAGGCCCTGATGGATTCACCGCTTGAAACATCAGCACTATTATTATTATTATTATTATTATATTTATTATTATTATTATTAAAGACAGTTAAGTGGATAATGACTCATGCAGAGACACGTCTTGGAGAGAGGCTTTTATCCAGCACTTCCACCTCTTCAAGATTCTTCCAGAGCATCAGAGTTGCGGCCGTTATTGGGCTGATGCAAACCGAGTTCCACTTCAAACTGGACGGACGTAGAATGTGGAAGAACAGGACCCGTCACCGCTGGACGATCTGTTACTCAAAAGTTCCATAACGACATGGACCGAAACACTAAAAAAGTTTAAATTAGGTGAAAAAGCTGGACTTTTGAAGTGGTTTGCTTATGATGCTGATTTTTTTCCTGACTCAAGATTTAAGCTGTGGAGTAATAAAGATCTTAGAACATATGACACTTTAATTAAGGTTGGAGTAATGAGAAGCTCAGGGACAAGTTTGGACAAATCAGCATCATTTCAGATGCCTGGAAATTACAGATTTTGTTACAAAAAAGTTCCCTCAAAAAAATAATTTTACTAAAAGTGATATTCTTGAAATTTTTCAAAATGCACATGAAGACGCTCCCCATCAAAAAATAATTTCAAAGTTATACACGAGTCTTCAGAATGTAGAGATCTATGATCCTCTTTATATAAAGACGACAGAAGCCGAGAGAAACATGATTCTAACAACTGACGACTGGGACAGAATCTGTCCACCGCAGCGGTCGATAACCAGCGCCCCCTGCTGGAGGAGGTTCTGTTGGAGAAATGTAACTCTATATTTCTGTTCACCAGCTCAAACATCTAAATACTGTGATCAGAGCAGCAGCTGGAGGTGATGTGGTCAAGTACAAACTCCAACCATGTTCATGTTTCTGGAGTTTTTCCTCTGTGGCTCCAGTTTGGAGACGAGTTCATGAGACACTGGAGGTCGTCTTTAAAAGGAAGATACAAGATCATAACTGGAAAACGGCTCAGACAAGAAACACCTCCAATAAACCAAAGGACTGACTTGATATATTTATATCATATATTCAAAATGGAAAGAAAATTACATTTAAACTGAAGCTACAGAGTGAAATATTTGAAACCCACTGGTCAAAAAGGTTCAGGTAACGACAAAAAGACTCGACTCTGTGTGAAGTAGTCGTGTCTGTACATCCACCCACCGTCTGCTTTTGTTTTGTTCTATTTGAATGTTGTTTAGTTTTAATGTGTGTCCAAGATGAAACTCCAATAAAAAGTGAATGAAAAAAAAATAAACCAGGACTAAACCAGGACTAAACCAGGACTGGACCAGGACTAAACCAGGACTGGACCAGGACTAAACCAGGACTGGACCAGGACTAAACCAGGACTGGACCAGGACTAAACCAGGACTAAACCAGGACTAAACCAGGACTAAACCAGGACTAAACCAGGACTAAACCAGGACTGGACCAGGACTGGACCAGTGTTCTGTTGGTCGGGGAGGAGAAGTTCACATTTGGGCGACTTTCAACAAGTTT